CCTCAGAGAGATCCTTGCCATGAACCACCTTGTCCTGCCCCTTTATTGCTCACATCAGCACTATTGCTGATTCTAAAGCAGTCAGGACAATGCTTCACAGTGAACTTTGAGGCTCTTGGAAAGAGGAATAAGCTTACACTGTCCCCATGCTTGACCTCTGGTTTTGGTCACACTTTGAACTCTACCCCTGAAACCACTTGGATCTGGGTTTCCCTTTGGTTTTCTGAGTGACAGAAGCAGCTCTTGTGCAATCCCATAAATCCAGCAGCCAGGGCTTTGATAAAGATCCTGAAGTAGTGCAAAGAGCAAGTTCATCCTTAAAACGAGCAACACCACCAAGCTCGCTAGAAAGCAAAGAAAAATCACCAAATGTGTTTAATATGGAGACAGACATGGAACAGAGCCTGTCCAGAGCACCTCTTGGGGGTACATTTCTTCAGCAACTCCACTGCATCCTACCAGTGACTGCCCAAAGAGCCATGGTTTGTGCACCCAGCAAACTGCAGAGACTGCTTAGCAGACTTTTTTCCACTGATAAAAAAGATTTCTGAAATTCTAGGAATGTTATTTCCTTTTTTTATTTATTTTGTTACAAACTTCCACACTATGCTGAAATATCCCAGAGTGTATTTTCAATGAATAATACAGAGAGAGTAGCTTCAGATGCAGCTAGAATCTAAGAGCTATAGTATTGATGGCCCTGCCTAACTTTTCATCAGTGCTGTCAAAGATCTAGAGGCTAAAAAGAGAGGCAAATAAAAATTCTGCCTGAAGTTACCCCACTGTCCCTTCTTTTCCTGGCTCTCAGCGAAATGTATTCCCTGTCATCAAACTGAAACACCACATCTGCCTGTACTAAAGGGTGTTTTCCTTTCCTGTGCACCTTCAACTGCACAATTTGCATTAACCCAACCTGATGATCATTGTGTGGCCCAGCCACAAAGCACAGACACAATGTATGTGATGCTGTCCAGGGTCTGACCAGGCATTTTTGTTCAGAAATTTCCTTCCAAACCCTCAGGTCTGGCCATTTTTTCAGTGGTGGCCTTGGCACAGAGAAGTGACAGCATGTCATTTATCCCTGAGCTCAGTGCCCTCCCCAGCTCTGCACGTGCCAAAACTGCTTGTGGAGCTCCCATTGGCTCTGATGACGCTTTCAATTTAGCAAATGTTTATGTGACTCTTGGTTGGAAAAGGATGGAAAAAGAGTCCAGGCACATCACTCTAAATAGATCTGTGGGTAACACTTTAGCTACACATTGAACTTAGATTTAGTAGCATCGTTATTGCATGTAATGTTTATTTTATTAGGTTTATTTTATTAGTGTGCCCACAGCAGAATGTAAGCCTTGTCTTTGTCAACTCTAAAGGCACCCCACAAGAGGCTCTGAGTAGAAAAATATGGTGCAGTTCATTTTTTCCTTTGGAAAAGCCAAGCAGATGCTGATGAGTGGATAGTCACAATAAGTGTGTGTTTTAAATGCACTATTTAGCTCTGAAACTCAGCTGAGTTAACTTGGTGGGAAGTTGGATTTAATTTGATCCTGTCTCTGAGTGTTCATAAAATGATGCAATTCAGCTTTAACCAGATGAGTGGTATCATCAAAATATATTATTTAAATCCCACCCCCTCAACCATGTGGCCAAATTGGAAGAAGTGTCACTTAAGTATCTCCTTCCAGGCCAGGAAAAGATCAGTCACACTTTAAATTAAGTGTCTCAAGTAAGGATTTAATTTAGACTTAATAAGACAGCGATTGTACATTAAATACCATTGGGTTATTAAAACCATATTCATTGAGGTTTTACAGCTATGTCAGGACAATATGCCATAAATGGAAAAACTGGTAACAAGACACAGTTATTGATTCTGACAACATGTGCTAGATAGGATGCGTTCATATGTTCAATAAAAATGAGATAAACAAGCATGTTTTCCAGAGTCTCCATGTATGCCCTCACCAAAATGTCAAGCTCTCAGAAATAAGAGCAAAGTTATCCTCAGTGCCTCCCCAAGAATTATATTTATTTTAATAATTTTATATATAATAATTTAATTTTTATATATTTGTATAAGATTTTATTGTTGGGGAAACTGAGGAATTGAGAGGGCAACAAAGGAATTTTCTTAGGGTTTGCTAAACAGCTTTTGGGAAGGCAGAAATTTTTGAACTCCCTTACATTTCTGCTGTGCTTTTACCACAGGACAAACCTGGTAAAGACCAAGTGGGTGTGAACAAGGACAATCCAAAGAAGAAATCCAATCTAGGATTTCTAGTCTAGTCAAGGACACCAATGTCCCCAGATGTCACAGATGTCACAGAGGACAGGGCTGGCAGGACAGTCCTTCAACAAAGAGAGTGTGAGGTCTGGGCAGACCCACAGCACCTTTTTGCTTGGGATGGGTGAAGCTCAGGAGATTCTGGATGCTTCAGAGTTTGTGAGCAGGGAACTGGAAACACCTCTGCAAATCCTAGGAATGATTTTGCATTTGCATATCTTCATTTACACACAAATATGCCTTTCTGTGACTGTGCATATATAATACATACATGTAATGCATGTATGTAATACACACATGTGTGTAAGAGGACTTTAAGGAGAGATTTTCCCACCAGAAGAAATCATGGAAAATAGAATGTTTAGACAAAAAAAACATTTCCTTTGTCAACAAGTTTCTTTATTCCCCTTACTGTTATTAGAGACATTTGTGCTCAAATCAGAAGTCCCAGCCCTGCCTCTCCTTCCATCTGAACCTACACAGATTGCATAATCCTCTGTTTGTGGCATCATCATATGTTGCTATAGAGATAGAGAAATGTCTGTGGTGATGATGATGTCAAATTGCTCAGCCTGATAACACCAATATCAAGATAGAGGAGAGGGTCTATAAACAGAAGCAAAGCATCATCTCCAGCAGTCAGCAAAGAGGAAAGGTAATATTATTTATAGACCTTTAAAGGTAAACAGATGTCAGCTCCAAACAAGCGTGACTTGAAAGCTTTCTCTGGTGTGAAAGTCCCCAGCTCTGCTCCCATTTTCAAAGGCTTTGCTTCATCAACATGACTTCTTCAATTGCTCTTTTATTCAATGGCCTCCATAAATTTGGGAGAAGTTATGCTGCTGCTGCCTTGGGAATGTGGCAACCCTATGAATGCTGTGTCTGTCTCATCCTGTGGCTGTGTCTGGAGATGGGCTAAGATCCCTTACTCACAAGAAATATATGTTGCTCAAGACTGGGTACAGACTTGGATGCTCTGCTATTCTAGAGAGCAGCACCCAAAATTTCCATGGCAGGGAGGTCACAGCCATGGCAGGGAGACAGAGGCACGGCAGTGGTGGGATCCTCACTCCCAAATCCATATGTAGATGTCAGAATTGCAGTTTTCCCTAGAAATGGAAAAGTTTCTAGCTCTTGGAAGTGGAGTGCCCTGACTGTCAGGAGCCACTTTGTTCTGCAAATGTCAATCTGGGGAAACAGATCTGATTTCTCACTTATATTTCATCTTGAATTTATTCATACTTCCAAGTTTTCCTCACAATCCAGACACAGATTTACATGACAGTTGTACGAAGCTGACCTGAAAGACAATCATATTTTACAATTCCTCTAAATAGTAGAAAATGGTGGCTTGGTTCCTTTCCTGCCCAGACTCTTTAATTACCGGGGTATCACGGAATGCCTGCATTGTAATAAAACTCCAGAGTGTATCCAGGTACCAGGGGATTTATTAACTTGCACTCAACACTGGCAATCAGCAGCCAGGGTCAGATGTGCCTGGTGATGATGACATCACCGTTTTTGGCAGCTCTTTCCAACGAGTGTTGAGTGAGGTAATGTCCCCAAAATTAAAACTGACAGCAGGATTAATAATGATAGATTCCTCGAGCCTTCTCTTTGTGCTTTAAATTAGAGTTCTATTTCTTCTATCAGAGATTGCCAAAAGATCATCATAACACTTCAGCACACCACCAGTAAGGGACACCAGCAAGTGAAACTGGGTGAGCAGGTTCCTGCAGGAAGGTTTGGTCACACCTGGGCACTGACTGCATTTTCTACTGGAGATGGGCAGGTGTCACAGCATCTGACCACTTGCCATCCTCACAGACATGCCAACACTCAGCTCAGGGTGTACAGCTGGAATTAACTCACAGGGATGTGTCTGTCAGCAGCTGAGGGAGAGTTCAGCCAGAGGAAGGCTCTATGTCCTGTTGCAGTCCCTTAAGGAATCTCCAGGGATGCACCAAAAGACACCAGCTGGCCCACAAACCCTTGCCCAGCACATTCATGGGCACTTTTTAGATTTTCTGGAGCAGTTTGCAGGCGGTTTATCCTGTCTGGCCCAGGGGGGTTTTGACTATTTGTTTTTTGAAATTTTGCAAGAGAAAGAGAAAGGAAGGGAAACCCAAGCTGTGGCTGACACCCTGAGATAGAGTTCCCTCTGCCCAAGACCTCAGCAGCCACAAACCAATGTCAGGAGTGCAGTGCTTCAGCCACACACTTGCTTTGACCCAAGGCAAACAGGGCTGACACCAGGGCACTGCAACCTACATCTCTTTAAACTTCTGAACTTGGCCGTCTTTTTTTGCTCAGCTGAACATCAGAGAGGAAGGTTTTCCTGAGAAATTCCTGAAATCTGTAACAGCAACTAGTAACCATGCCATCATCACTATCTGCCAGGACTACAATAGACTTGGGATTTTCTCTAAAAAAACCAGAGAGCACTCATGGTGCCACTTTCTTGGACCCTCTTCTCCCACTGCTCCCCCTGCCTGAGTATTTTGCTTCCTTAAATTCTACTCAGATTCCTCTCTTGATGTTTCTCTGTGCTGTTTTTACCTGTCCTGGTCTTTGTTCCCCTTTGCCTGAGCTCTGCACCAAGACCGACACAACCAAACAACAAACCCTGAACACAAGTGTGAGCTTCAAAGACAGATTTCTTACACAAGTTTGCCAAACTTGCCAGAAGGAGACTTTAGAGATTAGAAAAGGCAAGTACCTGGGTTTTTTCTGTTAATCATATTCTGTCACAGCAGCAGATGGAGGTGGCTTTGGTATTTGTAGCATTTATTGACAAATTAAATCCTCCAATGGTCGCCAGGCACTAAAATGAAGAAATAGAAAGTACCGAAACTGTTTGGATCTCAAACAGCTTGTATTAAATAGTATTTACTATCCTTAATAGTCACCTAGCTCAGATAAAATCTATCTCATCAGTGCATTACTCTGCCTGAGCACAAACTATAGACCTGAGCACTTTTATGCACTTCAAAATGCTGCAGAAGCATTTTACTGCATTGTCTTTGTGCGTAGGTGGAAAGTACAGTGCACAGAGCAGTCCCTGAGCACTATCCTGAAAAAGGCAGGCCCTTGAAGGCCCTACAGTCCTCGAGTTGCTCCCATATTCCAGAGCAAAGCCATATATTGCTCAGTCAAAATGAAGCCATGGAAATCTGAAATAATGATGGAAGAAATGAGCAAAGTTTTGGTCATTGTTTAATTCACTAAGAGAACAACCCCACCTAAGAGTCCTTCTGCCAACTCTGACAAAGTGGCCAAAGATAAAGACAAATATGCCTCAGAGATGGAGCACAGCTGTTAAAATAACAGTGAAGAGGAAAAAAAAGTGCACAACAATGTAATTAAGTAGCTGTGCCCATTCCATGTTTCTCCCTCCAATGCTATTGGTGGCAAAACAATAGTTTGTCACCAGTTTGAAATTTTAATTCTTTCCTATACAGATGTTGCCCTTAGAAAGTCTAGTAATAACCTCATAGAACTGCATTTCTCTAATGATGATAAAGTGCTTTAGTTAATTAAACCTTGCAACATTTCTGAAAGTGTCATACACTAAGCAGTACAGCAGCCTCACTGCAAAACACAACTCTTCCAAAAATCTATTTGTGGGTTTTGCACAGCCACTCTCCCACTCTGTATCAGTTGCAAAGGAACCTCAGGGGAAGGTTCTGTAAAAATTGACAGAGAAAATACAGTGGAGCTGTTCTTATTAAGAGGTTTGGTGAGGTTATTTTAAAACAAAAAACCCCACCCTTTTACCAAAACTAAAATGTTTTGCAAAAATTACTTTGATTTCACATGAGATTTCATCAGAAAAGTTTGTGAAGTTCAGCGTGGACTAACTTGTCCCTCTCAATGAAAGGGGAGAATGTGCAATCAGTCCAGACCCTGATCTTGAGGTCTGAGTTTCATATTGCAAAAAACTTGGAAAGATTACCTTTCATGTCAGTGCAAAAGCATCTCAAAATTGCGAAATGTGGTCACCAGACACAGTTGTAGTTTTACATCTCGTTCTATCATCAGGCAAGTTAGGGTCTGGTTTATATTTCCCTTTCAGGTAGTGCAGTTGATAGTACAAGCAATTACAACAATAATGCTCCAGTCAGTGCCTACTTGTAAAAACCCCTTTACATGGCTTGGACATGTAGGCCTCTGAATTTACTTTGTTAAGGAATAAGCACTATATTTGCTGTCAGTGCTCTGCTACACTGCCCATCTTTTTACTCTGAGTGGGAAAATCACAAAGGTTTCACCTGAGCCCCTTTAGTCAAGGTCAGAGCCCCGTGGTTTGGGCACTGGGATTCATTGATCTGAGGACTCCAGAGAGGTTTGCATGGGACAGGTCAGCCCATGGGTTTGCACTTGGTTCACACAGGCTCTGATTCAGCAGATTAATTAAAGGACAACGTAGTATTAAGGGGAAAGAGGGCATCTCATTCACTTCCATGCTTGCTGAGAAGCCAGACTTCAGCCCCTGCATGGAGTTTGACTGCTGCACTTAAAAACACAGCAAGCAAGAGCTCCTCTAGGATAAAAAGCTGATGCAGAGCATCAGAGCAAGAGCTACTTGCAGGAATATGAGTTTTGGCAGCCAGGATTCATACAACCCACCTAGGAAGGTAACAAAGAATCAAGACCTATCCTCACATCGGGTACCAGCTTCACTCTTATTAACATTGTGGATCCTGTGGTGGTTTCCTTCACTCCCAAAACCACTAATTTAACGTACAGTACAGTCATTCTATGTGGGGGGAAAGAGAAATTCTTTCTTCCTTCCTGTTGGAAAACTCTTTGGCAGTAACGCTTGGATTGTTTTCTTTGTAAATTATATTCATGCTGTTTTCAAGATGTTTTCCTGACTTTATTGAAATTTGACCAATTTAACGAGTAATGTAGAACTTGTTTCCATGTTAAAAAACTCTCAGAGCTGCTTGGGAATAATTATTAAAACTTCCATGTGTGCAGCAAGGCCAGTCACTTCTACAAATAGAAAAGAAGGGGGAAAAAAAAAACTAGTCTAACAGAAGGATGTTGCTCTAACAATAGGCAAAGGAGTGCAAAACCCAAGGCCACCAACCTTTGGAGACCAGGGGCTGCACTGGCTCCGTGCCAGGAACATAACACTCACACCTGGCTTTCCTGCCAAGTTCATTTCAAAAAAAGTTTTAATCACAGATAAGGGACCAATACAAAGCCCTGAAATCAGTGGAGAGGCTCGCATGGAGTCTATCGGAACCTGACTCAGGCTCCAAAGCCCTGACCTCTGGCACAGCCATCAAAGCATGCTGCAAACCCCTGCAGCTCCCCTTGGAACCAAGCAGTGCTTTGGGGGACAAAGGGGCCATGCTTTGCACACCTCACCTGGTACAGGTATGGGTGATGGGGGAGAGCGGCTGCTCCAGCCCAGAGAGCCTGGAGGCCTCTGCCTGGACCCTGGTGGCTCTGCTAGGGATGGATGTTAGACCCAAGTGTGCTCTTTGACTTGGTATCCACAGTCACTCACAGCTCCGTGCTCCACAATGTTCCCACGCAATTAATCTGCCTCCTTTTCTACTCTCTTAAAGATCCCAAGTGTAGGATCCCCTTTTGATCGACAGCTGCCAAATTCATCCCCTAAATGTAGAGGTTTACTACCCAGAGCTGCACATTAATGATGCATTTTAGGCAGATACCTTTTGATACAACTGCTCTAAATATTTCACAGCAAACCAGCAGCTGCAGCAACCTGAAACACCCAACCCACTCTGCACAAGCAATGGTGACAACACCAGCACTAAAAACTCCAGCTATCCTCAGAGGCTATTTTAAATGGGTGGCAGTGGTGCAGCTGTCATACCTTCATTCACCCCCAGCCCCTCTGACCCCAGCTCCACACGGAGCTGTGAGGGCAGCAGTGCCAGGGAGCGGCCTGAAGCACGGCCCTGTGCCAGGAGCATGGGAAACACCCCGCTTGTCACCCAAGCAGAAAGCCAAAGGCAGCCCTTGCTGGTAGAGCAGGATGTGAGGAGAGTGTTGTGCATGTGCAGTTTCAGAGCCGAAATACAGGAGCTGACATTTTTATGACTTTGATAATCTGCGGTGAGCGGCCTTGCTGCGCGGCCCAGGCCCTGACAGGTACAAGGAGAGACAGGGCGGTGCTTGGGAGCTGCTGCACGCTCTGGAGCTCCTGCAAGGCCTCTGGGGACCCTCTCCAACCTGGATGCCAGCTTACATCAACCTACAGGAGCCCCAAAAACCTTACAGATTTCTTTAGCTATAGGATTTGCTCACTGTTTTCCCTGGTGGCTGGGGACAGGTTCATGGGGACACACAAATCTCCTTTTCCACCCTACTCCCCTCTCAGAAAGGCTCTGAGAGCTGCTTTCCAGGCAATGCTCCTCTGCAGCTGCCTCTGAGGTCCTGCTTTCAGCACATGATTCCCTGCAACATTTACAGTCACCATTGCAAATACAAGAAAAATACGACTGGAGGTTTGGGTCATCAGAATAAATGGCCAGACATCTAAATCAATGGCTAAACAAGCGCTTTTGTGAATTTATGGGCACTCCCTGCTTTTAGCTACTTCTGTACTGTTGTTTGGCTCAGCAGCTCTGAACAAAGCCCTTGTAACACTCCCATTTCCTCAGCATCAATAATCCATCCCAGCAGGGCTGGCTGTGCATGCCACGGGGTGTCACAGCGCTGCAAGCCAGCAGCAGGTAACGGGACTAGATGGTGCTGATGCTGCTGAGATGGGATCCTGAGTGGCAGAGGAGAAGATCTGCTCCCAGGGAAGCCCCCTGGCTTCATCTTTCCAGAGGCTCAGATGTGTAAAATGCCTTTTTTGGTTTTCTTAAACTTCTTTTTTTGACACCCAAGACCAGAATAGCTACATCTGCCTGGCTGTTACTAATTCAGGATCCATTTAAGATGAAATTTGTTAAACAACTTTCAGTCAAAAGGATGGGAAGCCTCTACAGCCATGACTCATGGAAGTGGCTCATCCTGGCAGGATGGGTGTTCAGGGAGATCTACTCTTTCAGGGAAGTGCAGGATTACTTTTCAGTGCATCATAAAGAGGTGAAGGAGGTGGAGCTGACACAAAAAGGTTAAGCTTCCTTTTCCCAGCAAACGGAGCCTGGATTTTGCAAGGAGTTCAAAGGGATGGCACACACCCATTCACTTCCAGAGGAACTTGGCAGTTTCAATGCCTTTGAAACCTGCCTGCCTTAATGCCAGGCAGATGTTGGCAGTGCCTTCAGCTTTCCCACCCAGTTACAGTGCCCACCCCTTAGAGCAGGCAGCAGCACATCTTTTACACACGTATGAGGCTCAAGATGAGAATTTAGGAAGCCACTCCACATTTGCAGCACTCAGCCGGTGGGTTCACTTTAAAGCCTGAGCACAAAAGTAGGAAAACCAGGTATCAAAGACAGCTGAAAATTCAAAAGGTCCTCAGTCAGCAGTAAACCAGCAGCTGAATGTGCAGCACACCCTTAGGAATATATCAAGTAACAAAAAAAAAAAGGTAAAGACAGTGTCCTCTTCAGATTAAAGCAGCACACCTTATAGTGCTTTTATTAAAATGCAGCATAGTTTCAATATAAATGGTATTTGTACATAAAAGAAGGTGATTTATTTACCCTCCTCCGTACCAGAGACAAGGGACAATGCCTTGGTTGGGGAACTTGGCCTGGTGCTTGCTTGCACTCCTGGCTGATGGAACAGAAGGGTGTCTGTGTCCAGATGTTTATTTCCTGTGGTTGAATGGGAATGACACGGAGGGAACAAAAAAGGTTTGGTTAAACTGAGGGCTTCTGGGAGAGTAAATCCAGTCAGGGATGGAGGAGGACAGCAGAACTCTGTCAAAACCATCACATCTCACATTTTATTGAAAATTTTTCTGAATCAGTGAAATATTGGCAAACTAAATAATTCTTAGATTTGTCACTTAATAGCAAAAAAAATCTTTGATTTTATGCTTCACCACAGTTTTCAGCACACAGCTTTCTTTGCAACTGCTCCTTGATGGTGTCACAGCTCTGGGAGTTGCTGAGAAATTCTCTGTCCATTTACAAGTGAGTCTGCAACATGTCATAACTCTGCAAAGTGAGGTTTATGAGTCCATAACAAATATTTTCATCATTCATGCCTTTAATGCAACATAAGCCCTTGAGAAGTTCTGACCAGGATGACAGAAATGAAAAAATGCATATTAAATTGTTTGGGTAGGAAAAAAATAGAAGCACAAACTTTGTACTTCCCCTAACCCAGAATAGCATAATTGCTTTAAATATTTTTAGATAATAAATTGTTTCTCTTGCAAGTACTTCAGAAGTATTATTCACTTGCATGGCCAGAGATGAAAGCTCAGCTTCATTAGGAAGATTTTCAGAACCACCAAACACTAAAGAAAACACTTTTGGGCAGGTCAAAACACAGTTTTAAAGGAAAACAGAACAATGATAACAAATTATAAAAAAAAAGAAAAAGATTATACAGAGGAAGGCAGCCCTCTCCCCACATCTGTGGGTGGGAACAGACACACAAAATATGTATCCTGGACCCCCAAGAATAATGTTTGATTTAAAATAAAGAAGCTGAGAGCTGTTGGGGGCTGCTTGGGAAGGGGCAGGGAGGGTTTTTAACTGAGATTCCCAGCAGCTCTTCTGTTCTGCAGCCCAGCAGTTCCAGCCCAGGGAGTCACCCAGCCACATTGCCCTGGGTAAATATATATATATATAAAATTGACTTTACAAGCTGCATGACAGGCTGCTTAAGTTACCTGATATCATTTTGCTACTCCCTAGGCATTTCAAAGGTAACCATCTCACAAAATCTGACTTCTTACAGGCCAGGGAGCTTTTAATCTCTTTGAGATTCTGGTAAGCAGAAGGGTTAAATATTCATTGCCAGCAACACTTATGGAAATGCTGAGGAAGTCAGAGCCCAGACCAAAGAAAGATTTCAGAGGAATTCTCTAAAATACCAGCTCCAAACATTACGAAGTTCACCAGCACTTGCTGTCAAATCCAAGCTGCTTTTGGGCAAGGCAGAATCCTGCAAATAAACCATTTGCAGCTGTAAAAAGCAGTCCTGCTTGCTCCAGAGAGTATTCTTTCCAAAAACCAAAATGATTTACAAACAGTATCGTCAGAAGTGAATGAAAAGGAAATACAGTGCCTGCGAGAATAATTTTTGCACAATTAGTCCCGTTTGTGCAAATATTTACAGTCAAGCTTAATATTACACACACACTTCCACTCAGAGGTGATGAATGTACTCACCATTTATTTTTTTGTGCTGCCTTCAGGGTCTGAAACATTAATTGGCATGTGAAAAATCCTGATGTTTATAAGCTTTTGGAAATGCTGATAACCTGATAAACAGAAATGTTACGGCAACTTCAGGAGCTAATCAAAACCCTGGCAGGTTGGGGAAATGTCAATATTTACAGCAAGCAGCCTTTCATCAGTTAATCACTTTTAACCTTCATAAACTAAGATACTATAGAGGACTTCAGGTTAATATATGAACCCACTATTCAATTAAGGCATTACAAAGGCAGCTACAAACAAATAAGGCTTCATGAAATGAGGTACAACTGAATTTATCAGGGGAGAAATAGGCCAGACAGAGAACAGAGAGCCTCAGCTTCAGTATTTGAAAGGAAGAAGCGCTCTGTGCAATTCTACAGAAACAGACTCAGCATTAGGTCCAAATATTTTATTTCACACATAAAGCACAGTACCCATACCCACACTAATAAAGAACAGACTTGTGCCAACCCTGGTGCATGCTTTTGTTATTGCATTATAGTTCATGAGAATTATAGTGCATAATTAAATAGAAAAAACTTGAACCTGGAATTATAAAACCATCACCACAAGCCAGCAATTCCACTTGATATGTATTAAGTCATTACTTTTTTTTTTTCATAAGGAAAGAAAAAAGAATCAAGGAGGAGGAAAAGGGGGGGAATAGAAGGAAAGAGAGAAAGAGAAAAAAAAATTCTTTTCCTTGTAAATCATTAAAAATGCATGAAGGTTTAAAGCATGCCAGAAACAGCCTGTGCATTCATTTAGGAGACTATGCAGAAGAAAACGCACTGCATTAAAGAAAAAAAAAAATAAAAGAGATTTTTCTAAAACAAGGGAAACCAAACAAGCCATGGAGGAGACTGGTGGGGTGGAAATGCTCCAGGCAGGGAGGGGCTCCCTGTTCTATCCCCTTTCCTGACCGAGAGCATCGGGGGCCCTGAGTGCTGCCGCATTTGTGATGCTCCAGCAGAGCTTTCTGAGTTTTATCTTCCAGAGGAGCTAATCACAATTACAAACATATGGATTATTATTCTTGCTGTTGAGTTCAGCCTCTGCCATAGAGAAACCTCCTGGCATGAATGGGTGATTTATTGAGCTGCAGATGGGAGCTCTCCTTGGTGAAAGGGATGCGGTTGGACACAGGAGCAGGGCCTGGGAGCAGCAATCACAGGTTAAACCACTCTTTGACTCTTCCTACTTCCTGAAGGCACTTCAGCTCAGGGCTTCCTGCCCTGTGAGAGGGAACACTTGATGGAAATGGTGTCCCACGATGAGAATCCTGGGGTTTATATAAGTAGTTTATCATTATGAAACATCAGCCATCACACACCATTAGGGGATGATTCCCACCCTGCACAAAGCCCAGCTCCTGTGGGACAGGGTGTCTGACCTTGATGTGTCACGCTGTAACTGGAGAGAGACGTCAGGAGAGAAATGGCTTTTACTGCATGGAGCTGGCTTGTTTGGGTTTTTTTTTAAGTTTTTTGCGTCATTCTCTTTAAATTTTTAGGGCGAATTTATTGCTCTTGAAATCCATATCCCAGGGGTCTGGGTCTGCTCAGCGCAGAGCAGAGGAGATGGGAAGCAGTGCTGCGGCTTCCCCTTCCAGTCCTGACTTGCAGTAAATTCTTGGAGATTGTTTTAAAAATAAAAGTAACTAACTAGTGATCTCCATCTCTCTTGGCACAGCAACACCAGGAGATCCCAGCCCTGCTGGTTTTCCTTTACACTGCACACAGGCAGCCTGAGAGCACCATCCATCAGCTGGGAGGCACCACACAGCCACCCCCAGCCCTGCTCACATTAAGTATGTGCAGAGGGAAGGCTCTGTGCAGGGTGCTCAGTTCGCTGTGTCCCCAGCCCCTGGCTCTTTGCAGGTCTCCAGGAGCCCAAGGTGCTGCTCCATCCCAGTCCATGCTGAGTCACTTGGTCTACGGGTTCACTTGTACCATGATTAGAGGTAAAACAGAAGGAAGAGAAACACCAGACTCCATGGCTTCCCTAATGTAGGGTTTGCTGTAATCTGTGACAGGGAGGCAGAATCCCCCACTGATGCCTGCTGAGGGCTCCTGGAGTTGGTCTGTGGGACACCTCTGGCTGCCCAGCCCACAGCGGTGATCCAGTTTGGGAACCACCACAGCCTGGGATTTTCCAGGACTGAAATGTCACAAGTCAAACAAAAGGGCAATCTCCTGTTTTTCTGGTCCAAGTGGGAGTTGCTGCTGTGCTGTTCTCTGCTCCTGACCAGGCGTTGCATAATGCCAGCCCTGTTGCATCCCTCTAATGATGCCATTTTCTCCATAGGCAGGAGGCAGTCGGTGTTTGCCTAATCAGCAATTTTCGAGCTTTTGATTCCCACTCCTCCCCACCCCCTCTTTTTGTCAATATTCATTATAAATGCTTGAAGCCAGGGTTCCTTTTTAGCTGACTGTGCTTTCTCTGCCTCACCCTTTCAGGTGGATGGCTGACAAGTGACCACTTCATGCACAAGGAAACTTTAAATGAATCCCAAAAGAAAGTATTTGTGTAAGAATGAAAGGGCATCCCAGGCTTCTGCTGAGTAATGGATGTGATAATAATTGTAGGGGAAAAACAGTTGGGTGTTGGTTTTTCCTCTTTCTGAAGCCAGGCTCTTGATCAAAAGATGTAAAAAGCCTGACAGTTGCTGGAGCAAGAGCTGCACTTTGATTCTGGGGCACACAGGAAGGACAGCTGCCAACCTGGGAACCAAGAAACTGGCTATTGCTCCTTTGAACTATATCAAAAGCTCATCATATTTACTTCTTCTAATTAACAGGTGAATTTATTAAGTGTGTAAATGAAGGGCTGGTAGCCAAGGCTGGAGCAGATAGGAAGGTGGCAGCCCCAATGATGCACAGCAGCATCGCAGCTGCCAGCAGTCCCAGCAGTCCCAGCCTCTCCCTGCTCTTAGACCCAGAGGAGCCACTGTTACCCCAGCTTTGGGGCTCTTTTCCCCAGGGACAGCCTCTTGTTCCTGACAGTCCGTCAGTTTTAACATAAGGAACAATAAAACTGCAATCAAACGCCTTCCTCCTGTGTGCAGAGCCGGGGGATCAGGTTCCCCCTGTATCTCTTACCTTCCTCCTACCACTTTGAAGGGTTTGTTCTTGAATTGTATCTGGATATCTCAGAGTGGAATTTCATTCTTCTGAGGCTTTTAAAACTAGACCAGGTAAAGAATTAGCAAAGGAGAGGGAGCACACGGAGCAGCCTAGAGCTCACAGAGCTCTCTGTCACTACTTTAGTGGTGCTGCCTGGAAAAGATGATGCTCTCCAGAACGTGGGAATTACCCTGGGAAGGAATGGGTGGCATCTGCTTCCTTTCTGCTCCTTGAAGAACGAGAACAGTTTTCCTTCTTAGCACAATATAGGTAAAATGTGCTAGCTGAGATCCAGCCAGCATCTTCTCACTGAGAGTGGCCAAAAAGGGATTTCTTGAGAAAGAGTAAAAACAATGTAGGAAGGATATTGAAATTTTTACTCCATGTGACCTGAAAGAAAATTATGTGAAAGGGCAGATCAAAGGAGAGCCCATTCCTCAGGTCTGAGGCATATTTGTGCAGAACTGAATTCTGCTGGTTTGCTTGCTAAAGGAAATACCCTAGAAGCAGAACGAATGTATCCAGGAGTTAAATTATCATGTTTTGGTTTGTGATCCATTACAGCTGACCGAGATATCTCCTTGAGTGAGTTGCTCAGATTCTGAACATGCTCCAAACAAAGTCAAATTCCCCAATTTGCTGCTGCATCCTGGCATCTAGCACCCTTGTGCTGCTCAGGGTATAGGAGACACCAAAGGTGCCAGCACACACTCATGAAGCTCATGTAAAACATCTGGAGAGGAGACATTCCTCTGCACCCTGTTTCCAGGATGCTTTTAAAGGAGTCAGCAGTGCCCTACACTTGGTCCATGCTTTCTGAATGAGATGTCCTGGCTGCTTAGCTGAGGAGAGTGTCAACATGAGTGATCACCCCTCACTGCCTCAGGAAAGGGCTTTTGTTTATATTTCAGGCAGACAGTTTTACTGCATTATATATGATCCTTGCAATTGTTACCACTATCTGCTTCTGCCCTAAATATAGTGCGAATGTTCCTTGCCCTCACCCTGGTGTCACTTCCATCCTTCATGCTCCCACTCCAGGTCTCTTACACCAGTTCCAGGAGTGACAAATCAGTACAAATGCCTCACTGCTCTGCAGGGCTCAGCAGTGAGGCAGCAGAATGTACCTGGGACATGGCTTTCCACTCACAGCCGTGCCAGGGATGCTGTGCCTTGGAGCTGAACAGAAGCTCCGATCCCGTGCAGTTCCTCTGAAAGCTTCCCATAAATATACAAGGCTTATGC